CCAGACACTTTGGAGTGCAGCTGCAAACTATAGGCAGAAGATTAAATTAATTTGTAACTCTTTTTTTTTTTTTTTTTTTTTTCTCCTGGCCTGCATTACTAAATCCTGCACATTTAATTGAAACCCTACTTCAAGATGCTTTGTGTTCCTGCTCCTCTTTGTTGGCAGTTTAACCTCAGAAGCACTTTAACGCTGGTAAATTGCTGTTATATCCTTTTGGATTCTTTTTTTTTTCCTTTTTTTTTTTTTTTAACTGTGCAATAAGAGGACGGGGAAAATTGATATTAGAAGGCAAGAAAAAAAAATCTTCTGGTAGTTTTTGAGGTATTTAATATTTATTAAGGTCCATACCCTGCAGAGTTTCAGGTGATTTTTAAGCCCATCTATCTAAGAACGTAGAAATTGGTCTTGGAATGAAATTTCACCCGGGGAATTTTATGTTCTCCAGTAGTTAAGTCTGATTTTTAAAGTTTCCCCGTGTCTGGATGTTGGGAAGCGGCGGCTGCTTTCCCACGGAACGAGGGTTTAACTGCAGTGCACCATCTAAATGCAAAATCCTTGGATGGAAATTTAATTGTGTGAAATGTGCACGAGGTAATTAAGAACAAATTTTTCGAGCATTTCAGCCTATAAAAGCCCCTCCTTCAGCCCCATTGCTGGCGATATGGGAAGTGCTTATTTTCAATTTGCAGTTATGCCGAGAAACATGGAAATGTGTCTAAATTAAGAATAAAAGCATCCCGGGCTTTCCAGTGGAACTGTAAATTAAAAAAACAACTTGCACAACATCCACGAGCATCTAAGTGGGAAACTTTATTGCCTGAGTGTCCTAAAAATATGGTTTGAACTTCCTTCCCTCAGACGCTTTGCAAACAGGATGCAGAGGGAGTTGTTGGAGTTTTATTCACAATATACAGCAGGCAGGGAGGATCTCTGTATTTCCCTTTCCAGTTCCAAAATGGTAAATTACATTAGTTCAACAAGTCATTTTAATTTTGTGTTCACTTTTCTGCACATTAAATGTACTTGGGAACAGGTTTGAGTTGTTTTCCAGCCCTGCTTATGGGAGCTCATTCCAGAGGCTTTATGGTTCTTTTTGCTTTTGGTCCTTTTTTTTTTTGAATAAACACATAATGGTTTGGTATTTTGAATTTTTTAAAATTTCAGTGCATATAAAAATGTGATAGTTTGATAAAAATCAACATCCAAGCTCTTATTTCATAATCTGGGATTATTTCTCAGTTTATCAAGTACTGGTTTAAAATCTGATGATCCATCCATCCATCCTCTGTCCAAGTCTGGCAGGAGGTTCTTTCTCAGGACACAACCTCACTGAGCACCAGGAGTGTTTTAAGTGCTCTCATAAGCTACTTCTATGTTTAGGAAAGTAATTCCTTTAAAAAACACACACACACAACCCCAAAAAAACTCCTCCATGTAGCTGCTCCAAAATGAAATGGGGTGGGAAAGTGTTATTCTGGAATATTTCTTGATGATTAATCTCATTCTCATTCCTATTTCCACACCATCCTGCCCTTCCAATTCCGTGGGCCTTTTTAAAAGGATGGTTTTTACAATTCTTGTGTAGCAGGAGTGAAACCATAGAATCATTTGGGTTGGAAGAGACCTCTAAGATCACCCAGTCCAACCATTTGGGAGGAATCCATAGGAAAGTGGGAACCAGCTCCTTGAAGTTCAACCATTCCCTTCTCTCTGCAGTGCCATAAAATGCTGAGCAGTTTCCAAATCCAACGAGTGTGACTGGAAATATTGTATTTTTGTGATGATGCCTTAAAAAAAAAGGCAAGTCTTGGAGTGTCATCATGTAAATGCAGAGCAGAGAAGTTTTGGACAGTGTGTTACTTTGGAAGTTTATGTTTTTTCTGTCCTACACTGGGCTTGTGCCTCCTATGTTTGTATGACTTGCTTGGACACGTGACAGAGTTTGAAAATCCCTTTAGTGGAGCTCTAATCTGTTTGTTTTGGGGGATTTTTTTTTTTCTCTTTAACTATGACACTATTTATAAATCTGAGTCTACATACAGAGGTCATTGGTTGGCTGAACTTAAACCATTTTGCTTAGTAAATTTAATTAAGAAAATACAGTGCAACTCATAAGCAAATGAGTTTTTTCCTAGTTTTAAACCAAACCACCCTCTCGAGTGCTGATTGCCTCGCTCGACCCCTGGTGATACAGAAACAGGCAAAATTAAAAAGGACATTAAAGCTTCATTAAATCTGAAACACATTTAGTACAGTGACATATCTGCAGGCTATTTCGGGGAAGATTACAGACTCTTTGCTAAGTTTCTTAATTTATAATACCTTGACAATCTTGCAGGGAGGAAACAAGTGTGAGGAGATGAATCGAGGGATGGTTCAGGGGATGCAGAACTGGCTCCTCAGCCCAGGAGCAGCTTCACAGAGAGAAGTGTTTCCTTTGAACAACCCCCCAAAAAACTTGCTGCTGGTGCATTTTGGATCCTTCCAAGCTCATTTGTACACCCTGTACTTAAGTCTGGCAGGAAACTCCTCTTTCCCCAGTTATTTTGCTGCCTTTGGAGCCCCTGCTCCAAGGGTGTGGTGTGGCCAGGGAGAGGGATCGTGGGTGGGAATGGGAATGCTTAGTTTGAAGTCACCTTTGAGGTTGTTTTTGTGCTTTCATAACATCTGCAGGATGATGCTGTGTGCGTACAACCATCATTATCTTCTTGGTTTGCAGTAGGATAACTGTTACATTCCCTCACTGTTCTTGAGCCAGTAGTTCTTGGATAAATCAGGTCTTATTCTACTTCTGTGTGTGGAAAAATGCTGGGCATTTATAATTTTCTTTCTAGGCATTTATAGTTTTATTTCTAGGCATTTATAGGCTATTGCAGCAGCAGGGCTTTTTAGGACCTCAAACAGCTGCTTGGAACACAAGGATGGTCCTCCCAAAAGAAGAGAAGATGATAAAGGGTTTTAGTTTTGGTATCTCCTGGTTTGTAAGACCGAGTGTAACAGAAAATTTGGGGTCTCTGCTTAACTACTAGCAGCATTTTTCAGAGCCTGCCATGAGAGTGACCAGAGTGACTTTTCTGAGATGAGAATGATCACAGAATTCCAGAATGGTTTGGGCTGGAAGG